CAAATGTCGTGGGTTCGACCCCGGCTTCCCTGGATTATTTCGCAAGGATTTATCCGTCCCTCCCCTGGGGAATCCGGATAACAAAGACTGCGTATGAAGACGAGGACCGAGCTTCGAAGAAGATCGGTCGAAACACGAGGTATGAAGCGTTGAGCGAAGTAAAAACCGAAGATTACACACCGCCCCTGGTCGAGCAGGCGCGTTACAATTGGCGTAGCAGTTCCATAACATGTGGTTCTAGTGTCGGCCCTCGCGGAGGAATGTCTTAAAAATGATAATCCAAACTCAATTAATCATCGACAGCTTGATGTTACAACGCTGTAGCACAGCCAGCCCTCGTCTGTGTTACTGGTATAGAGCAAACCATACTTGCATCCTTGAAATGTGTGGATTACGAGGCTTATACATGCAAATCTATGGAATGAACTTACATCTTCCTTCGCGGTGATTGAAACAGAGCACATTGAACTTGAATGTCATTTACCTAATGAATTGATTGTAGCAATGAATGGATAGCGCAGGTGCAGCATAGCGGTGTTGGTGGCCAAACTTAATGCTCTACCAAGGTGAACCACAGGCGCATCGGGACAACACACTAACGATAGTGAAGAAATGTCAATCAGCAGAATATACAGCCTCCGGATAATCTATTGCGCAAAAGTTGCGCTACTCCGAACTATCTGATGGAGGGGAGGGAAAATAGCTCAGTGGTAGAGCATTGGTTTCTTAACTCAAATGTCGTGGGTTCGACCCCGGCTTCCCTGGATTATTTCGCAAGGATTTATCCGTCCCTCCCCTGGGGAATCCGGATAACAAAGACTGCGTATGAAGACGAGGACCGAGCTTCGAAGAAGATCGGTCGAAACACGAGGTATGAAGCGTTGAGCGAAGTAAAAACCGAAGATTACACACCGCCCCTGGTCGAGCAGGCGCGTTACAATTGGCGTAGCAGTTCCATAACATGTGGTTCTAGTGTCGGCCCTCGCGGAGGAATGTCTTAAAAATGATAATCCAAACTCAATTAATCATCGACAGCTTGATGTTACAACGCTGTAGCACAGCCAGCCCTCGTCTGTGTTACTGGTATAGAGCAAACCATACTTGCATCCTTGAAATGTGTGGATTACGAGGCTTATACATGCAAATCTATGGAATGAACTTACATCTTCCTTCGCGGTGATTGAAACAGAGCACATTGAACTTGAATGTCATTTACCTAATGAATTGATTGTAGCAATGAATGGATAGCGCAGGTGCAGCATAGCGGTGTTGGTGGCCAAACTTAATGCTCTACCAAGGTGAACCACAGGCGCATCGGGACAACACACTAACGATAGTGAAGAAATGTCAATCAGCAGAATATACAGCCTCCGGATAATCTATTGCGCAAAAGTTGCGCTACTCCGAACTATCTGATGGAGGGGAGGGAAAATAGCTCAGTGGTAGAGCATTGGTTTCTTAACTCAAATGTCGTGGGTTCGACCCCGGCTTCCCTGGATTATTTCGCAAGGATTTATCCGTCCCTCCCCTGGGGAATCCGGATAACAAAGACTGCGTATGAAGACGAGGACCGAGCTTCGAAGAAGATCGGTCGAAACACGAGGTATGAAGCGTTGAGCGAAGTAAAAACCGAAGATTACACACCGCCCCTGGTCGAGCAGGCGCGTTACAATTGGCGTAGCAGTTCCATAACATGTGGTTCTAGTGTCGGCCCTCGCGGAGGAATGTCTTAAAAATGATAATCCAAACTCAATTAATCATCGACAGCTTGATGTTACAACGCTGTAGCACAGCCAGCCCTCGTCTGTGTTACTGGTATAGAGCAAACCATACTTGCATCCTTGAAATGTGTGGATTACGAGGCTTATACATGCAAATCTATGGAATGAACTTACATCTTCCTTCGCGGTGATTGAAACAGAGCACATTGAACTTGAATGTCATTTACCTAATGAATTGATTGTAGCAATGAATGGATAGCGCAGGTGCAGCATAGCGGTGTTGGTGGCCAAACTTAATGCTCTACCAAGGTGAACCACAGGCGCATCGGGACAACACACTAACGATAGTGAAGAAATGTCAATCAGCAGAATATACAGCCTCCGGATAATCTATTGCGCAAAAGTTGCGCTACTCCGAACTATCTGATGGAGGGGAGGGAAAATAGCTCAGTGGTAGAGCATTGGTTTCTTAACTCAAATGTCGTGGGTTCGACCCCGGCTTCCCTGGATTATTTCGCAAGGATTTATCCGTCCCTCCCCTGGGGAATCCGGATAACAAAGACTGCGTATGAAGACGAGGACCGAGCTTCGAAGAAGATCGGTCGAAACACGAGGTATGAAGCGTTGAGCGAAGTAAAAACCGAAGATTACACACCGCCCCTGGTCGAGCAGGCGCGTTACAATTGGCGTAGCAGTTCCATAACATGTGGTTCTAGTGTCGGCCCTCGCGGAGGAATGTCTTAAAAATGATAATCCAAACTCAATTAATCATCGACAGCTTGATGTTACAACGCTGTAGCACAGCCAGCCCTCGTCTGTGTTACTGGTATAGAGCAAACCATACTTGCATCCTTGAAATGTGTGGATTACGAGGCTTATACATGCAAATCTATGGAATGAACTTACATCTTCCTTCGCGGTGATTGAAACAGAGCACATTGAACTTGAATGTCATTTACCTAATGAATTGATTGTAGCAATGAATGGATAGCGCAGGTGCAGCATAGCGGTGTTGGTGGCCAAACTTAATGCTCTACCAAGGTGAACCACAGGCGCATCGGGACAACACACTAACGATAGTGAAGAAATGTCAATCAGCAGAATATACAGCCTCCGGATAATCTATTGCGCAAAAGTTGCGCTACTCCGAACTATCTGATGGAGGGGAGGGAAAATAGCTCAGTGGTAGAGCATTGGTTTCTTAACTCAAATGTCGTGGGTTCGACCCCGGCTTCCCTGGATTATTTCGCAAGGATTTATCCGTCCCTCCCCTGGGGAATCCGGATAACAAAGACTGCGTATGAAGACGAGGACCGAGCTTCGAAGAAGATCGGTCGAAACACGAGGTATGAAGCGTTGAGCGAAGTAAAAACCGAAGATTACACACCGCCCCTGGTCGAGCAGGCGCGTTACGATTGGTGAAGCGGTTCCATAACATGTGGTTCTAGTGTCAGCCCTCGCGGAGGAATGTCTTAAAAATGATGAGCCAAACGCAATTAAGCACATAGGATCGGTTTAGGGTTCACATAGCATCGGTTTAGGGTTTACCTTGAGGTAAACGGGGTTACTACGTAGTATTTGAGATAAAACGTGGCAATCCGGTGTTTACTGTTAGGGTTTAGGGTCAGGTTGTTTGGGAAACACATGGGTTAGTTAGGGGTCAGATTTTTTTTGGAAAATACTTGGTGTGATATGATAGTTGGTGACTTATTGGTGTCATTAAAGCCAGGGTTTGGTGATATATTTTACCCGAGTTAAGAACATTACACGGGGTGAGTGAGGGTTGAGTTGAATGAAGCCAACAGCTCGATGGCAATTTTACAAGGATGGTTGGTAGGAGGGGGTGACAATGATTTCTTCTATTTTCAGGGTCAATCATGTGGCTCCTCTATTTCCGTCCTTGAACGATTTTAAAATGGCACTTCTATTTTGAGATTATCTTTTGGACATGGACCATTTTAACGGTTCGGTGTACAGTTAGATTAAAACTATTACTATTTTTGAATATAAATATATAAAAATTTAGAAATAGAATTATCTGCTTTGGTGTCATTAGTACTACTAAAGTAGTACTGTACTAGATGAAAGGTGGCGTCGTTTCAGGGACTCGAACCCGTACCTTCGACTCGACAGTCGGGCACACTAACAACAACCCAAGGTAAACCGTAAAACGATGCTATGTGCGTAATCATTTCCCTTAGGGCGGATCTGCATGTCACGAAAAATGGCATAAAATGGCCGTTTTCCCAATTGGGAAAAGTTGGCAAAATCGAAATATTCCATTTTTCGAGTACCTTTGGATGCCACCAAAGTTCATTACTTTATGCCGCAATTTTCTTGAGAATCGGGTGTGTTATGGAGGTTTGTGTTCACGTTGACAGTGAAGTCTTCACTTCAATCGAAAATCGAATATTTCTTCCAAAATTCAGCGAGTATCCAGACAACTTTGGAGATAGGTCTTTTCTCCTTTTTTCATGGGATATGAGACTTTGGGAAAAATTTGAAGATTGCCAAAACGGTTTAAGGCATAATTTTATGCGGTGGCAGACCAGCCCTTAATGTTCCGTTGACCCGCTAGGATGGGCCATGCCAGAACCAAAGGACTTATACTTTACTAGTACTTCCGTCTGGAGGTATAGTACGTGCTAAAATCGACTGTTGTTTAGAAAGTCCTTGTGACATGGCGATAGTGGAAAGTTAAAATCGACTGTTGT